TTTATCAATCATTGTACTAATTTCTGTTTATAATTTTTGTATGTATTCATTATACCTTCTGAATAGTAATTTTTTAGAAGAAATGGTTTAACTATATGACACTGTTCACATTTAATTTTTAAACCTTTATCATTTATTACTATATATATTAAAATATTTACCCTGTAGAATTTAATGTGATTTCTGTAAGAAAATAATTTACATCAAGATTTTAAACTAATAAATTTTTAATATTGCTTATTTAGTAATTTGATAATTCTATGCTATAGTTTTGAATAGTTTTGAATTACACCGGTAATTATGATTTGTGAAAAATTAATATTAAAAAAATAATAAGAATATTAACTATATGCAGAGCAAACATTTATTTAAGTTTTATTTATTTATTATGTAAATAGTTTAAAAACGTCTATCTGTATTATAAACATGCATTTTGTTATTTTAAATTTATTCTTTAATTTGTTATATATATTCAAATTATTATTTTGTAGTATAAAATGTCTTTGTCGGATCAATTAAAGAGTTTGCAAATTCCTGGACAGGCTGCTATCCAACAAAATTTATCTATAAAGCATTCTATTTTGTTTGATGCTCAAACATCTGCCACACTTGATAATGATACTATCTTAGAAATTGGAATTACTGGATTCACTAATCTTTGTTCTATTGATTTTGTTTTTAAGCAGTTTGAAGATCTGTTTACTAGAAGTGCTCTAAAAATACAGCGCAATATGGAAAATAAAGATTTTAATCGTAGATTGAGTAAAAAACTGTCAATGTTTTTGATGTTTTTGTCACCTTATGTTCTTTTAAAACCTGCTCACCGTGTTCTTGAATGGCTCGTTAGAAGATTTCAAATTCATATTCATGAGAAAAATGCATTAATTGGCTGCTTATTACCTTACCATGAAACACAGTTCTTTGGCAGAGTTGTTCAATTGTTTGGCGAGCTTGAAAATGATCAGTTGTGGTTTTTTTTACAACCATTTAAGCAGTCTGGGACTGGTTTTAGTACTAATACTCTTGTTCAGCATTGCATAAAAAATGAAGGCATGCTTCGGTTTGTCCATGATATGACGATGCAATCAGCTGAACTTTTGAAATACAGCCCAAAGTCTGGTTTTCGAATTATATTTTCATTTCATGCTCGGCTTTTTATTTCTGTTATAGATTCCAAATCAGCAATTAAAAACAAATTTTTATCATTCATTTTAACAATAGTTACTTCTAGTTTAAAGGTGCATCATAAAGATCTTGTATGCTCTCTTTACATGATTGTTGGCTTGATAAGTTCAAAAGTAAATTTGGCTAGAGATGTCACAAAATCTTTGCTTCAAGCTATTTTTCAGGTAAAATTATTTTAACCAGCATTTGTATCGATTTTATAAAATTTAAATTGTTCTTTGAATTGTTATATTTTAAAGTTAATGATAAGAATATCATAAAGTATTTAATTTAAAAAATTTTTTAAATCTATTTTTATCTTTTCTGTTTCTTAGTAGTAAAAAAATAATACAATATCAAGCTTTGACTAGAATGATGTGTGATCGCTCGCTGAAACTGACCAGCTTATAACTTTTTTTGTTTACAATTTGACCAATTTAAATGTTTGAAACTATTTTTTCCATGTTTTTCTTAAATTCTTTTAAAATATTATTTTTTTAAGTTACTTTAAATTATGAATAAGTTGAATTAAATCTTCCATTGCAATGAAATGATTTAATTGCTTTATTTATTTATTTTTTTTTCTATTTTTAAAAAGAATTGTTTTAAAGTCAGATATCAAATCAGAACATGAAATAATTAAAAAATACTATTTTAAAGACTGTTATTTTTTGAAACACTTTTTTGCAATTTTTTACAAAAAGTTTTTATATAACTTAAAAATATTATATTTTTTTCTTTTTAATAATTTAAATAAATTTTTTCATTTATTAAATAATCATCAGAAGTAATTTGTAAAAACGTTTTGCATAACTTTAATAAAATGTTTCATAAGTTTTAAACTGATTTATTTCAAACACATTTAAAAATGTAACAAAAAACAATTTTCGCTGTAAGTTTGAGTTTTTTAAGTTTTATTTTGAAGCTTATTTTTTTGTAAGCAATGTTTTTTTTTTCAATCGTTTTTTTTTTTAATTAATTTTTTTCGAAGTTTTAGTTTAGCTTAGCGTTTCTTTTTTCAGCGTATTTCTGAAATGTTTAAATCATCAAAACATCTAAACAGTTGTGGTCAAGTTGTCAACAAAAAAAAAGGTTTGTGTGGTCTTCAGTAGCTATCGATTGCACGCCATTCCTGTCCAAGCCCATAATATCAAATAGTAATATTATAAAACAAAATATATTATCATAATACATAAATGCATTTAAAATAAATATTTTCATAAATGATTCTGGAATATTTTATCAAGTTTTCAAAGTAAATATTTAGTTGAATAAATCTCTTAAAATTGATAATCAATAAAAGTTTTTAGTTGTTTTAATTATTAAAGTTTTTATTGAAATAGGTATCCAATTATAAAATTCTTCTAAAGTAGATATTTAGTTGATTAAGATTTAGCTTTAAGCCTAATCTTAATCAGTTGATGATGCGGTAGTGGCGTAGTGGTAGAGCGCTCACTTTATAAGCAAGAGGTTTCAAGTTCAATCCCTACCATATCCCTTCTAGTACTGCCACTCAACTTGTTTCTCCGCCCAGTGGCCTTGTTCGTCAAGGTTCGTGTTATGGAGTTATAGAGTTGAGAGAGGGTTATAACCACAATTAAGTAGCCTCCTCATCTGTAGTGGCCTTCTCAGCCTTGTTGAGGTGAATTAACAAAAAAAAAATCTTAATCAATATTGGTTTTAAGTTTCTATCAATTTTTTATTGACTTTAAGTTTCTATCTAATTTCTAATAGCTTTAAGTTTCTGACCAATTTCTAATGGCTTTAAGTTTTTATCAAATTAGTACTAGTAATGAGTAAGTATCTTTTACATTGAAATCAATAAAAATGTTCTTGTGAGCATATTAAAATATTAGCCTAAATTATAAACATACCTGTTCCAATAATGGAATACAAAAAGTTTAATAAAAAACAAGTCCAAATTTTATGTAAAAAATCTTTATTTATTCATTTAAAGGTTTAAAAAATTTTATTTTAATTTTGTCTTATTTTTTATTATGCAATAAAATTTTATAAAATGTAATATTATAAAACAATATTATATAATTGTTTTTATAAATGTTTTTGAAAAAATGTCTTATTCAAAATAATGTCTAATTATAAACCAAATTGACTTTTGTAATTAGATACCAAATTGACTTTTGTTATTTTGATTAAGTCATAATAACCAATTAACAGTTTTTTTAAACTTTTAAATGTTCTACCTATTAAATGTTCCTTTTAAATGTTTTACCTATATTGTTATTTTTGTTTTGGCTATAAATAGGCAAAATATGTGAGGATATATATCGACTGATTTTATACACTGGATATATATACACAGGCCTTGTGATGAATAAAAACTGCGCGACGTATAAGCACGACGTAATTTTCGACGTCATTAAATTCTTTTTATTTGCTTTTCGTTTTTATCGACATTAACTGCACCAGTTTACTTAATTACCGCAAATCTTTAACGTAGAAATGTTATTATTTAAAAATGTTTTGGAATTTTTTGTTTTTTAAAATGTAAAAACATTTGTTTATTTTCTCGACGTTTGACACGTTTTGTCTATACTAAACAAATAAAAAACATTAAAACTAAACATTTAAAAAAGATTATAAAATATGCTAATATTTGATTTATTTTTTCTCAAATATGTAAATTAAAGTTTTTCAAATAATTATTTTTTCTTTTTAAAAAGTCAGCGAGTAAATAAAGTGGAAATTTTAATATTGTACGATTAAAAACTGTGCAATAGCTAATATTTTTATTAGCGATTTTATATAATAATTTTTTATTTATTTATTTTTATTAATTTTCATAGAGCGGTTGATAAGCACAATTACTCGTATTACTAAAAAACTTCAACGAACGTTTAGTATAGATTTTTAATGTTTACAAGGAATTTTATTTTTGGTAAAATAATATAAAATAAATGTTAGAATAAAAATCTTATAGGTATTTCAGATTTAATATTAATTTAATACCTATAAGATTTTTAGAATAAAAATCTTATAGGTATTAAATTAATATTAAATCTAAAATACCTATAAGAATACCTAAACATATTTCAGCGAAAAAATTATTCTAAAAATTATTATTCGAACGTTCTATTTTTTCTTGAGCATGCTTCGTTGAGTTTTGGTAACTTTTAACAAAAAAGCGATTGTTATTATTTAAGTAATTTTTTTCGAGTTACTTTTTACAAAAATTTTAATAACTGTACTTTTTTATTGAATCAAGTTGAATGCGTTTTAATATTAATCCTTTTTTTTTTTTTATTTGCGCTTACCAATTTTTAAAATGTTTCCTCGAAATTACTCTTAAATACTTTAAATACGTCTAACAGTTAATAAATATTTTTAAATCTATGGAATAATTTTAAAACCTAACAAACCCCTGTAAAATAATTATTTAAGTTAAAAATCTAAAACTAAAAGAAAGTATTTTTGTTCAATTTTATCGACAACTTTGCTATTGCTAAATAATTTTATTAAAATGTTAGCTTAAAAAGATTTAAACTTTTTTTTTAATCTGAATTTTTTTCTACTTGTAAATAATGAGCATATTTAATTTTTTTGTAATTCAAACTTTTATATCAACTGCGTGCGGTTTTTAAAATACTTTATTAAATGTTAAAATAATCGTAAATTACTTCATTAAAATTCCGCTCAAAAATATCTTTAAAATATACTCAAACAAAAATTTTTTTGCTCGACGCAAATTTCCCTAGCTACACGCAAAATCGCTCTTGGACGACGTAAAATTCAAATCGCCCGACGCTTTATCAAGGCCTGTATACACTCCTTACATATTCTGCCTATTTATAGTCAAAACAAAAATAAACAAACAAACAAACAAAAAAAGTGACAAAAAAATGTAAATAAAAACTATCAACTTATAAATAGAACTGCATCTTTCTTGTTCATAAAAAAAGCAAATAAACGTTACTTTAAATGCAATCTCTTTAGTGATTAATTGGTACTGTCACATAACAATAAGAAATCTGCCTAATATTAAATTAATATCATACTTATATTAATAATAATAATAGATATAAGGTAATTAACCATAAGAGAACTTTTTTTACTCATCACTTGCAGCACAAAATGGAAAAAAAATTGTTTTATTTTTTGTTGATTTCAAGAGCAATTGAAGAGAAGTTACAATTTGCATAAATTATGGTTTGTTGCACAGTTACAAGTTTTACATTTTCATACCAAAAAATGTACACATTAGTTGTCTAATCATAGAAAAAAAAGCAAATGCTTTTTTGTGCTTTCATTGTTTCTTATTTCAAGCGTAGGAAGTGAATAGTTTTTTTGTTCAAGTTTGTTTAAAAGTGTTTTGAACAAATTTTTTGAGTCTTTCATAAGTTATATTTTAGTTTAATTATTTTAGTCGCTGGAAACTGAATGGTATGAGGAAGGTTTATTATGTGTACTTTCTGTTGTTGTACATCAAAAGCTAGAAAAGATAAGTTCCAGGTACTTTTATCTATATATGTTTTACAAAAATTTTGTTTTATTTGAATGTAATTTAACAAAGAAAAAATTAATTATTAAATAAAATGAAATTTAAAAAGTTTTTAAAGTTCTTAAAATGCATGCTTTAATTAAAAATAAAAAAAAATAAAATTTTTTGTTGTTGCTGTAATCCAAATAATCTAAGTAGTACCTGTCTGACCCCAAACGCTCAGTTGATGTATGAATTGAAGTACCAACAGCTCCTTAATTCAGTATGACCTTTAGTTCATTAATATAATAATAGTTATATATATATATATATATATATATATATATATATATATATATATATATATATATATATATATATATATATAATATATATATATATATATATATATATATATATATATATATATATATATAACTTCAGCAATTTTTTTTTCTAAATAATTATGCAATAGTTTTTTGTTATAAAAAAACATAATATAAAAAAACAATGCTAAAACATTCATTTTTATAAGTAAATAAATTTAACAAACTAAATTGAGAAAAATTCGCTATTTTGTAATAATGGATAACAGTTTACAGTCATAAGGTTATTAGTCATATTAGTTATTAGTCAAAAATTGTTTTGAATTAATAAAAAAATTGATAAAATCCAATAACCATCTTTGATATATCTAATTATTATATATCTTATTAACTAGAATAAAAGTTATTTGAAATAAAACTCCCTTATTTTATAAAATTTATTTTATTTTTATTTGTTTAAGTGTAAATATATATATATATATTATATATATATATATATATATATATATATATATATATATATATATATATATATATATATATATATATATATATATATATATATATATATATATATATATATATATATATATATATATATATATATATATATATATATATATATATATATATATATATATATATATATATATATATATATATATATATATATATATATATATATATATATATATATATATATATATATATATATATATATATATATATATATATATATATATATATATATATATATATATATATATATATATATATATATATATATATATATATATATATATATATATATATATATATATATATATATATATATATATATATATATATATATATATATATATATATATATATATATATATATATATATATATATATATATATATATATATATATATATATATATATATATATATATATATATATATATATATATATATATATATATATATATATATATATATATATATATATATATATATATATATATATATATATATATATATATATATATATATATATATATATATATATATATATATATATACGTCTTATTAAAGATCAATAGTTCTCCTATAAAGAATCCTCTGATACCATTAGTCAATAAAAAATGCTGAACATACCAATATTATTTGTAGTAACAATGAGACAAAAAAGAATGAATTTCAAACAAATAATTTTAGAAGATAAGAAAAAAACAGTTAAGGTAAAGCGCAAATTCTTGCAAAGTAAAAATATCTCTTTAATCGAAATGATAGCCATAAGTTCAGAAATGTAGTTTTGTACTTTTGAAAGTCTAGCAAAAAAAAAAAAAAAGGAAGAAATTCTGTCAAACTAAACAAAGAATGATATATTGCACAAGTAGAAAAGAAGTTGGCACATTGAATTCACTGCATAATTTTAAAATCATAATTTTTGTTTTCGCATAAATTGTTATGAGTTTAAATATTAGTTAATTAAGCTAAATTTATTTTGTTTTTAATTTAATTATTAGAGGCTTGTAATATAGAATATTTTTTAGTCTCCAGTATGGGTGTTCAAGTAATGGGAAAAAATTACTTAAGTAATGTTAATCAATTATTCAAAGTTATTTTCAAAACATAAATTTTAAATACATTTTTGTGTTACTGTACTATATAAGTACTATACTGTACTATATAAGTACTATACTTTACTATATAAGTACTATACTGTACTATATAAGTACTATACTGTATTATATAAGTACTATACTGTACTATATAAGTACTATACTGTACTATATAAGTACTATACTGTACTATATAAGCACTATACTGTGCTATATAAGTACTATACTGTACTATATAAGTACTATACTGTACTATATAAGTACTATACTGTACTATATGTATTACTAAATGTACCAAACAAAAGAAAATATAACTAAACTTTTACATTTGAACACAAAAAACATGTGACAATCATTTTATCACTCAATGATGTTCTCAATTTAGTAATAAAAATTGTTTTTTTAGCATTTTCGGACAGTCATTTGATCCTTCAAATACAGCCATTTCTTTTTTGATACATTCAAAAATGTTAAAGGAAGCCTTGTTCATCATTAAATTTGAATTATTGACTTGGAAATAATAAAGCTCTTCAGCCTCTTTTTTTTCAAAGGTTCTTCAATTTTAACATTTGAGGCTTTACATTCAACTGATGCTTTAGGATCTTTATGGTCATAAAAAAGACAAGAATTGGTATCTCTTGCTATAATTGGAAGTTCTTTTTTCTTAGAATATTCTAAAATATAATTTTTTTTAGCTTGATCATACTGACTTGGTGCCTCTAAATATCTTTTAAGCCCTGCAATTCCAATAAATCTTCTTTCAGAAATTCTTTTTATCATAGACTTAAAAAAAAAAAATTGTATCTTGGTCTTTTAATTTTATTAAAATAAATTCACACATTTTTTCAGCTCCAAAAAGAGTAATATCTCTTTTACAAAGAATATCAACACTAGCTTCAATAGTTTCTAAACAATCTCCTAAATGTCTAGTCGTTTTAATCTAATTATTAGTTGGTATATGAAAGCAGCCATGGTGTAGTTGTTAGAGTTCTAGCTCAAACCAAGAAGATTTGAGGTTTGATACTGGCTCTAGCCCAAAAAAAGAAATTGTTAAGGAAGGAGGTGTAATCTTTCTGGTTAAATTCTCCTCTATTGTGCTCTGTGGTAAGACTGATAGGTTTTCTTGAAGCATATAAATAACCTTAGCACTATATAGTGCTAAAACGTTTTAAAAACTATTAGAAAAACTTTCCTAAAACCCTCAAATTACACAAGTTTTTTAACAGAAACACATTAAAAGTGGACTACAGTTGTTTTGAAAATATTGAAAAGATTATTAAAAACCATAACATAAAAAAATATTTTTTTCAAATATCAAAAATAATGACCTTAAAGGCAGTTATCAAAATTAAGAATGCCCAAGAATGAAATGTATTGAAATAATGAAGGGAGAGTGGAGAATAACATATAATAACCGCAGGTTATCATTTACTGATGATAAATACCAGAAATGGTATAAATGAATACCAGAAATGGTATAAATGAATACCAGAAATGGTATTGTAGCCCTTTGGGATTGTCCATAAAGTACGCTTGGATGAGAAAAAAGGGGTCTGCAAATGGCGTAGTAACATAAGGAGCTTCTATATAATTGAACCAAAATTATATTGAAGTGCTGTCATGAAAATAACTTCTTGTTAAAAAATTTCAAGCTTGCTATAAATCCAACCATTATATACCAATATAATATATACTATAATTTCTATTTTTGCATTTTTATATAAATAGTACCCATACCCATATATATAAATGCATTTTTAACAAATTTTTTAAACAATTTTTAAACTAATTTATATTTTACCATCAAATAATTAAAAATTATAAAACTTCATGAGTATTTAAATAAATAAAATTAAAATAATTATAAATGATATTAACCTTAACAAATTTTGCCCCAAAGCAGTCCAAACTACACATATAAACCCACATATAAACTTCTGCTATATAAATTGTAGTAAAATTAGATTTTTACTACCTGGATGATGATTGTGGTAACACATGAAATTCTGTGTAACAATAGTCTGTTATAAATGTTATAAATTTAGCAAATTTCTGATTCTGCATGTAATAATAACATGTATACTATATATGTGTGTGTGTGTGTGTGTGTGTGTGTGTGTGTGTGTGTGTGTGTGTGTGTGTGTGTGTGTGTGTGTGTGTGTGTGTGTGTGCGCGCGCGTTTGTATTTATTATAAGTAATTTTTTTTTTTATTGTATTGATTTACAAATATTTTTCTTAAGGATCACAAAGCTTTTTGTCAACCTTGATTTAACAAAATTGATGCAGGTTTTAAATTATTTGAATAAAGAGCATGACATTGAGGTACTCATTAATCTACTAGTTTCTTGCATTTGTAAATCATGCTTTTCAAGTAACGGTGATGAAGAAAGATTTATCAAAGCATTGCATTTAATGATTGATAATGAGATACTTATTGAAAAACATGTTAAAATTGTTGCAAGGTAATTCTATTTTTATGTTTAAAAAAATTTATTTTCAATTTTGATTGGTTTTTTTTCTTAAAATTAATTTTTTTTGAAGTTTTTTTTTGAAGTTTATATAATTAAATTTTTATTTTTTTTTTAAATGGAAAAATTTATTGAAAGAATTTACTAAAAGATTTATCTTATAGTTTATTTTTATATTTTTATTATTTTATATTTTTATATTTGAAAATAATGGAGTTATAGATATTATAGTTATATTGTATATTATAATTGCATACTACAAGTATGTTATTTTATATTAGTGTATGAGTTTTAAATACACAATATGAGTTTTAAATACACAAGATCAAAATAGATACTTTACTGAAGTCTCCCATTGTGTAAAATAAAAAAAGCAATAGCAATAGTCAATATATTAATTCAAACCTCACTATGAAAACTATTAATAATAGTTAAAAGGTTGTCAATATTATTGTACTAAAATAGCCATATGCAGGAGGTCAGTACATGCATTGGGCATTGGTTGGTTAGGCAAGTAAAATTTTTTTCTAAAGAAAATGTTATCTTAAATGCTTTTTTTTTTTGTGAGTGATGACTAAGAAAAAACTAAGGGATTGTCCATAAATTACGTAACGAGAAATTAAACTTATAGACAAAAGACAAAGGATTAAAAGTTTTCCATTGCTGAGTCTTTAATTAAACCAAGTATATAAACAACCTTTTAAGTCCAACAAAAACCACTGTGCAAAAAAGCAAAATGATCTCCTACTTATATTTTTTTAAATAAGTTTTGCGTTGCGTATGTTATGGACAATTCCTCATGTTGTGTTTATCACATTTCTTTGATTAAGCATGCTAAAGTGATTGTTTTTTTTGTTTTTTTGTTTGAAAAAGTGAAGAATGCGACTCTTAGATATGTTTATTAAACAATAAAAATTTGTTTGTTTTGAGAATATTTTTGAAAAAAAAGTTTTGCTAATTAAAACTTAAATAAATATTATGTTTTTTTTTAAACTTTTTTATTGAAAATATAAAAATAAAAGTTTTATATGTTATTAAAAACTTTTTTACTCTATAGTTCTTCATTTTTATATATAATTTTTTTTTTTTTTACAATATAACCAAATATATTTAAATTAGTTTGTTTGGAAAGATTTGGTTGCAAACAAAAATTGTTTGCAATAAAACCTTTCCACTAGGTGGGTTTGATCACACATAATTAAACATACCTTTTGGAGGAGTTATTAGCAATGATATGTTGAATTATTTTCCAGTGTTTTAATAATATAAAAGCATTAATAAATACTAGCTGTCATAACCTGTAAATCATGGGTCTTGGGAATGTATTCCACACCGCCCTTTTCTATATTTAATCCTTACTTTAATATTTTTGAGTACGCGGTAGAAAAATAACTATATAAAAATAAAAAAACTATACTCATTGTTTACATTTTACATCTATAAAATAAAATTCTATTATAAATAATTTTAAAAATCTTTAACCGTTTTGGTATATGTTGCCTTTTATTAATGGATTGAATATTAGTACCAGTCTAAATAAAATTTAGAACACCTGCTTGAAATGAGTTAAATAATTACCATCGGTATAAAAACTCTCAAAAACATGAGATGACTTAAATATGTGGAACAATCGACTTACCATGACCCTGTATAATAAAGGTCATGGTAAGTCTATTCCACACCAACCATTTTAATAGCTTCTTTTTATTTCAATAATTTTTAAAAAAGAGATAAATATTAAAATCTCATAACTTCTACTAATTTCTATAAAAAAAAAAAATTAAAAAAACAGGGACAGCGGTTATTTTTTTCTTTTATAAGTTTCTTTTTTTTTTTTTTAGATCTGCAGCTTATTATGACTCTTGCCCTGTCAATTTTAAAGAAAAATCAAGTTTGCATAAAAAAACTTTTTCTATAAGAAAGTTTGCTCTTTAATGGAAAAAAATAACTAATTACTAAGCACATTAACAAGTATCTCTATTATGACATGCTCAACAAATTTTTAACAGTGTAATCACGTTATTAGAAAATTTAAAAGCTTTTTAATGTTTTTTGAAATTTTATAAAAGCTTTTTGAAAAATTTTCTATTTCGTTTATTACAGTATATCTTAATATATGTTATGCAATTAATATCTCTAAGTCTTTAAAAATGTTTTTGTATTCTAGAAAATTGAAAAAGATTGTAAAAAAATTAGGTGTAAATGAAAGGATTTGAACCCACGTGAAGCACTTCAACCACTTTAGCATGTTTTAAAAGAATAAAAAAATACACCACATGTATTAACTAGAAATCAATTTATTTATACATAATAACAAAATAAAATATATAAAGAAAAGTATATATTTGCAAAAAAAATTTAACTAAATTTGTATTATCAATTACAAGGTCTCCTATATACCTGGTCTGCGCACTATTTTTTCGCTAATACACTTAAGGGCCGAAAAACCATTTTATTTGAAAAGGGCTTCAAAAACTTCAATAAACAAATAAAAAACTGTTAAAAATTAAAATAAAATTTGAAAATCTTTATTATTAACAAGAAGAAACTTTTTACACGCATTAAAAATATTTGTAAATCAAGTATAAGTATATATTTGATTTACAAATATTTACAAATATTAAATATTTAAAAATGTCTTGATAATTATTCCACAAACATCTTCTATTTTATGCTTTCCATTTGAACACTTCTCTTAGAGAATGGGCTTTATTTTAATGTCGCACAAAAGTAACTTTTCAAAGATTAAATAATGATTTTTTCTTGATAAAAAAATTTGTCTCAAATGATCAGTTTTGAAAATAGTTAGAAAATAGCTATAAGATAGTAAACATAATGTAAAACATAAATTAGTTGGTCATTTAAACCTCCTCTATTAATGTCATTAAACAAATCATTAATTTTTCCTTTTTCTTCAGAACAAATGTCTAATAAATATTCTTCCGAATTTTTATCAATAAAGAGATTATTGCAACCTAAGCACTGATGGAGCTTTAACAATCTTCGGGAACAAAAACCTGCAAAAATATAAACAATATTTACAGTATTATCTTCAATTAGTGATAAGTAAGAATAAGGATGATCATCATTAAAATTGGATTTTAGATTTTGGAACTTCATGATATCATCTTCATTCAACTGGTTAGCATCTATATTTAATAAATCCTTCTTATTTTTAAGATTTTTTGTCAAAACTCCTGAATATTTGCAAAGACTTTGAACTCAAATTTTTTTCTCAACATTTAAAACTTGCTTTACTTTAATGCAATAGTTTCCATCAATCAGCTGTTTATAATGACCAAACCTTTGTTCAATAGGATCGGATTGGAGCTTTCCTAAAAGAATATAATTCACATCATACTTTTTGGATGAAATATGCTCACTAATTTCTTTAAGGCATTTTCACATTTGTATGAAAGCTAAATTAGTTGGATAGGATAAGCCTGTATTAGGAGCTTTTAAGCGATTGCATTGATGTAGAAAGTCAACAAATTTTTTCAAAACAAATAAGTTTTGGTCTAAAGGGTTTTGAATCGGTTTCATAAGCATGTCTGGTTTATGTGAACCAACAACTGGAGATTTCACATTAACAACTTTTCGATCTTCCACAAACCTTTCTATTAAATAATGAGTAGCATTCTAAGTAGGACTTTGTAGTTTTCCATTCTTGTAATAAAACTTTAAGGCACATACAGTTTTTTCATAGAAAATTTTAAAACATAGCTAGGCTGAAAGCATTCTTTGGATAAGTGATGGGCAATTTTTAAGGGGCTTTTACTGAAAAATCTGTACTGTTACTCCTGTTGCATTTAACTGAAGAAGAGAACAGCTCACAGTATCACTAGCAACAAAAATATTAAGATGGAAATTTCTGATTTTGCTTGCAACCTTTTTAGTAAGCTCTTCAAATGATTTAACAGCATTTTTGAATTGGAAAAGTTCTAAGTCGTTTATTATCACATTATTTTCCCTGTTTAGGCGAGATGTGGAAGTAGAAAAAATAGTTGAACCAGGCACTGGTGTTACTATACTTAAACTTGGCAAAGATGGAAATACTGATGGTACAGCTTCAGGTCTTAATACCTTCCTTTCTAAATTTTGTTCCAAACGAATTTGCTCGCGACTTCTGTTAGAATCAGAGCTTGCATTTTTTAAGTCTGTTTGTACTAAGTGTAAGGAGCAAACGTAGCTGTTTTTTGTAGGAACAAAATGTTCTCTTTTAATTCACTTCAACCATTGCTCATAAACATTGCTATCAGCAGGAAAAGAACGGTAGCTTTTAGATTTCGGATCAGGATCTGTATCATACCCAGCTTTACATCCATAAGCACAGCATCTTCGTACCATGGTTATATAGTTATTTAATGTAATGTCATAAAGCTTTAAGATTCACGTTTTTACCTTCTCTAAAAACTTTGTTTTAAGAACTGGTTTTATATCGGCCCCTTAGCATATGATTTTTAAAAAATAGTTTGCAAGTGCGCAGACTAGGTATATAGGAGACCTTGTATCAATTAACAATTAGTAGATTAACCAACTACATAAATACTAATTATAGATGCAGCATTTTTTATCCACCACTTTTATCCACACTCTATATTAAAAATATATATTTAGAAAAAAGGCCCCCTCTTTTCTTTTAAATGCCCTAAATTTGAGCCAACACCTTGTGAGATGTAGGCCTTCTATTTGTTCTGCTAAATGCTGGAAAAGCATTGTAAGATATGTCTAAAATTGAAGATAAATACTGCAAACCAATTTACCTGTTAAATTAAAAAAAATATATTTACAAAAATATTTATTGCAAAGACAAAATAGCAAAACTTATGAGCTATCACACAAAATAACAAAACTTATGAGCTTTCGGTGCAAACAAATAATGAAATTTGACCAGAAAATAAAATTCTTATCTTGTTTGCAAAAACTAATTTCTTTTCAAACTATTAGCTAATGATCAACATAGTAAATTTAAAATAATTAAAGTTTACTAAGTT